TGGACGATTTTCGATAAAACAAACGAACACGCTATTACAAGAGACGGTCAATACCAGCGCAATTCGAATTTTATTGCAATTTAATACGATGTTTATTATAAACAAACTGCCAGGCAAACTTCAAGACTCAATATTTTCGAACAAACAAAACTTTAATGGTACGATGAGGATTTCTAAAGTTGCATATTTCATACTGCGGTTTGCAGAGTATGAGAAGGCAAGAATGTCTGTCGACACCACTTCTGTCATGAGCAATGCCGCGTTTCCTGTTGTTTGCTGTCGGCCATATATTCGCGAGATGAATAACTTTTTGTTTGTGGTATTGGGAATGTTTTTCACATCGTGAAGTAGAATACAAAATTTTCAATTTTTCATATGGAATTTCAAATGTTTTTAATTTATCGTGATTTTGCGGATTTAAAAAAATATATATCCTGGATTGCTGTATATATAAAAGCAGACGGACAGGATTGACTGAAAATAACGAGAATGTTTCTGTTATGTTTTATTCGTGACAGTATTCCGTTGTGGCGTTGTACTTGCGACATGCATGGGTGTTCCTAGGCTCAATTTAATTTAATTGTCGAATCATAATAAGACGACCGGTGATTCCGAAATTTCCGTACTAAGAAAGATAATTCTGTCCTAGCGGGCTTTTTTGGTGCGTTAGAGAAATTATTTTACCCGTAAAATTGAAGTCGAGCGTTGTAATTTTGCTATTGTCTTAAATATTCTCTACTTTATAGCGTATTTTCCCCTTGGCATATTTTTTGGACTATAGCTAGACAGCTTGCAGGATATTGAAAATCTCACCTCATAGTATTTAGCAATTTGACATAGATATTAAATTACAAGTATACACAGGCGGCGACAGGACCACGCGCAGAGACTTTTGTAGCAGTTGCCTGTTGCAAGATGTCTTTTAAACTACCTGTGTTGTGTAGTCTGAAGCCATCCTCACAAAGTTACACTGCCGGTTTACCGGAGTTTCAGTGGGCCGATCTCTGTGATAAAGAAGAAATTGGCCGTGGCACGTATGGTACTGTTTTATTGGCGAATAACCAAACAACTTCAGAGAAGGTTGTTGTTAAAAAGCTTATTGTGTCTTCACGGTTAGACGACAAGCAAAGGTTCTTCAAGGAAGCAAGGCTTTTGCATAATATACGTCACAAGAATGTGGTAGAGTTCAAAAGGGTGTGCGTGGAGCCTGCTGCAATAATGCTGGAATATGTCTATTTTGACTTTTTGCCCTTTTGTCCTGATGACTCCCCACGCGTGCACAGCCTAGAGGAATTTCTTAGTCACTTGGACGCCACGGACGCTGTTGCCAGTTTTCCTTCGTGTCTACAGTTGAAGATTGCAGAAGATGTAGCCAAAGGACTAGAGCATTTGCACCAGTCGGGTATTTATCATCGCGACCTTAAAACTTCGAACGTATTAGTTTCTAACACTCATTACAGCCACATCGAAGACCAAGAAGCCCTTGTTCAAGCTTTCAACAACGAGATTATAATTTGTAAATTGACCGACTTTGCCGACTTTGACAATTGACCGACTTTGCACACGCGAGCAAAATTTATGCATTTATTTAATGACACATAATAAGTTTTTATTGTACAATACAGTACAACAACAGTAATATGATCTATTATATGATTTGCCTAAAATCTTTTATGCTTAAGAACTGCAAAGTCAAAATGGATTTCTTGGGAAATTCCCAGTTTCCGGCGTTTGTTTATATACCCTGTATACAGTCCACAGGGTGTATAAAAAAAATGTACTCCCTTTCAAATTCAAATTAATCGTAATTTATTGTAATTTGACAGCCGCACAATTTCTCGAATTAATGAATGCGAAAACACAAAGTCTTCTGCACATGGGAAAAAAGTTTAAATTAAGATATAAGTCTGCATAAGATATAAAATGGGCCAACTTACTACCGAGCAATGAATATTTAAAAGGTTAATTTAAAAGGTTTAATTACTCGCTGGGGCACTCTGTGCCCGGGCGAGTATAGGTTTCGGCACGCATTTTTAGTGGATCAGCAATAGTGGATCAGCAATAGTGGATCAGCAATAGTGGATCTCCAATTTTCTTCGATAGCCACAAAATAGAATATTAATGAGCTGCCTAATATCAAAATGGCGGCCTTTCGTGGAGTGGGCAAAATATTTCAAACAATTTCGTTAAAATTTTCAACGAATTGTACCTGTTCTTTTATGGATTTTGCATTGTGTCTAACTTTAGACATTCTTGCTAGTTTAGTTAATGTATTTTTCTTGGTGCACGGCTCTGAAAATCCGAAATTTGGATCGTCGAATTCCCATGCACGATCATATTTATATTCATATAATATACTGAATCTGGATATAAACGAGCCAAAGGCAAAGACAATTTCAAGGTAAAAGGTTATAACTTACAGTAAACTACACAACGTAGTTTTAATAGATAACTACTTTATGAGAAGCATATTAGTGTCATATCAATATAAAATTTATCCAACAACAGTCTCTATTAAACAGTACTTAGTTAATAGCTGTGGAAACGTGAAAACTGTGGTGTGAAATATAATGTTTCGTAATGCCTATAATGGCGCCGCAATAAGGATAAAAATACCAACGTTCGATTCAGCGTAAGAAATTGTACTTACGGATGTCAAATGTATTACTAAACAACAGTATTCTAGCGATTTATGGCCATTCAAAATCAAGCGAAATTGTATTGTTTACACTAATCGCTCGCAGTACGTTTTCATGTTGACACTCACTCGCAGTACGTTTGTCCTTGACCTTGTACTAAGTTGTATTAATGCCTAATGGCGCAATAAAGATAAAAAATACCACCGTTCGATTCAGCGTAAGAAATTGTACTTACGGGTGTCAAATGTATCACTAAACAACAGTATTCTAGCAATTTATGGCCTTTATCTTTAAAATCCAAGCGAAATTGTATTGCGAACGAATCGCTCAAAACTATTCAACTAATTATAAAAAATGCAGTACGTTTGATCCTTGATAACTTTAGTATCGTTGGTTTTCTCTTTTTCGGCCGTATACCAGTGGATTTGTCTCACTTCTCTCTTCATTTTGATAGTATTTTGAGCCCAAAAGCCCCCAAATATTTTATTTTGAACGTAATTTTATTCTGAACGCGCAGTTTAATCCTAGCCGGTGGAAACGCCGGAAGTTTTATTTGCATGTCTGATTGTATAAAATCCTGAACTGGGTCATTATATTAACAGAAACTTCAAAACTGAGCCTCCTACCTGCAATACAAACCTAGCCAATTTGAGAGCGGCAGCACTCTCCCTTTGACAAGCAAAATCGACTGGTATGAGACATTAAACTAATAGGCCTAAGTAAAGTAGGGTGCACGATTGCATTGGGGCACAATGCAAGTCAGTGGGATATAAATAACAATATTATAACATGGTATTCACCTAAATAGACAGAGCAGTGTTATATGTTGATATAGTTCAAAACAGAGTGAACAAAACTGTAACTGAAAAGTTTAATCTTCAACCCTTTCGCGCTCGTATTCGACTTTTCCGCTTAGCTCGAGACAACCAAGGGACAACCTTAAATCTTAATTAAAACAACTGTATACTGCATGCATCATATACGGTAATGTGCGTGTTTGTATAGCCCCAGCGAGTTAACGCTCTATAGAGCGTCTTGTTATATTTGAATTTGAAATGTTGCACTTTTTTATACATCCTGCATGTAGACAGTATGGGTTCTCTGTCCTCCAAAGGGAGTTTCAAACAATAAACGCACTGGCGAAAACAAATTTTAATATTTTTCCTGTAAGATAAGTTACGATAAGTTATATGACATATTCAATAGTTGTTTAACAGATTAAAATGACCAAGGCAGCTGAATGTATGAATATTTGGCAGGCACATAGGAATCATTTGAAATTATACGAATGGAAAACATTGGGCTAGTTTCCACTCAGGAAAATTATCCGTGGATTGGAACGGATAAGAAAATTTTTCTTTGTGTTAAAGTCATTTGTTCCAACACAGAGCTCGCAAGACAAAGAAAAATCTTCTTGTCCGTTCCAATCCCCGATAATTTTCCTGAGTGGAAACTAGCCTTTAATTAAGCATGTTTAATTCGTAGCTGTTTATGCATAACCATAGTCATAGACGATCAACGACATTTAATGACGATATGCAGTACTACGAATGTCATGGAGGTTAGCCTAGTACACTATAACAGAAAACGCGCCAAAAATTTGAGTTTGAACTTGATAAAGGCTTTATAAGCGTAATAAGACATGCCCGTTTTGTCAGTAGGTTCTAACGTATTGGTTGTAGTAGGCATAGTTCGGCTCATACTAACTGCGTCATTCGTTCACTCGTTCGTTCAGACTTTGGTCTATTTGTACATGTTTAAATATGTAAACCAATCAGCTTTCGCGATTTCAATGATATTCGTTCGTTCTCGTTGTTCGGCGCAGGTTATAAACTAACAAGCAAATCCATTATTGTGTAACTGGGGCTTCATAATTATAATGTATATTTTGGATTTTGTATTGTGTAGTGGAAATAAGTGTAATGAATGAAAGGTTGTATAAATAAATCTATTTTTGTGAAGGAAACTTATCAATGAATTAGCAAATATAGTTGTGAAAAACTACCCGCAAAAAAAACTACCCGCAAAAAAAACTACCCGCAAAAAAACTACCCGCAAAAAACTACCCGCAACCCGCATTTTCTACCAAACCTTGCCAAAACACACTTTTACTAATTTTAATCCGATTACAGTTCGAAGTGATAAAAGAGAGCGGAAAAACCCCGCCAAACCTAATATCGTCATTTACGGAGATTGAAATATTCTCAGATTGTCCCCACAAAAATTGTTTAGAAACGCGCACGTTTTATCCGATTCTCTCCAAACTTTGCCACAATGTTGAACAATAGTACAGCAGCAAAACCGTGTTCGCGTTTTTTATTTAGTGCCATACTTTTCAAGTTATAGGCATCTATTCTGCCGTTCTCCCAAAATTTAGATGAGTCAACTTCTCTGCTTTATATCAAAGCAAATATAATACCTGTCAAAAAACGCGAACACGGTTTTGTTCTTTGATCATTTGAGATGGGAAATATTATGTTTCGGAAGCCTTTGAGGTAAATCAGAAGCGTTCTAATCTCGTGGCGCAAAGGCCGTCATATTTTCAAAAGCAACCCGTAGCAAGTACAGTTTTTAAAGGTGTAGAATTTTTGGCAAATCTTTAGCTACAGCAATGATTTATCATTATGCATGCAAAATTTGAAGGGGAAAACTTGAAAATTGAGCGCGCGGTGAGCATTTTGGTGAAATGAGTTTCCATCATGTGGAGTAACCTTAATGTTTGAAAACATAAATAATGAGGAAGTAATTTGTCAACAAATAATGAGGAAGTAATTTGTGAAATTAATTTCAAACAAGAACAGCAGGGGCTTGTTATCATTGAGGACAATCCCTCTCATTATTATAAAATGTACATAGCAATTGCAAATACATTTGTTAAATATAAATATGCTTTTATATAAAGCATATGGAGTGTTTCTATCTGATTGACCCTCATGTACGTAATTGTTTTGGGATGCCTGATCCTAATGGCATATGTTTTGAAGCTTGATCTAAACCTAAGGCACCATATGTGTGTTCACGATGTTCTCGGGATAAGAATGAAATGAAAGATTTAACTCAGATTGAGGAAATGTTAATTGCTTGTGCTTTGTGAATCATGGATGGAGGTCAACGAGGTTATACTCAGGGCATGTGGCTAATATAAGCATTTAAATTCCAAGTGCATACAATGTTGCCATTCCCTGTTATTTACAGACATTCTTGTTTTGTTCCCTTGTACATTAAAGAAACAGGTCTTGTACTCCTTTAGACTTGGTTCAAGTCCGTCTCAGGAGAAAAGTAGGGAGAGACGGACTTGGGACATTTGTAGCATTTTGAATGTTAGTTGCAAAAATTAGTGAGAAAATTTGTTGTTGTTCTCAACTCGCAAGCCACACCTCCGTAGGAAAAAACCGACGGTAAAATTTGGCGCGCTTGCAGGGTAAATCCAATTCCGTCTCTCCCTACTTTTCCGAGTTTTCTCTCATATTTTTGCGCCTTATTAATTAAAGTGATTTTACATATCCGTTTCACTGTAAAGTAAGTTGTTTCCTTGCTAACATGTGCCATTCGAGGCAGCAATTTCCTTGCGACAGTAACTTCTAGTATAATGTTAAGTTATACTTTTGTTTTTATTCTACGCTTTGATAAACAGGAACAATTATAGAAACTAGGCATTTGAATGGTCTAAGTTACGTTTGTTCTATTATATGCTTTCGTAAACTTAGAGACCCCTAAACAATTGTAACGAGGCACGTGTACCAAAATTGACTTAAAATTGCGTATAAGCAAGCATTTCCAAAATATCTCTATCTTTGGTTTTAAAGTTCACTTATGCATGTACGTCCCGGGTTACCTTTTATTCGACCATGAGTAGAACAACAAAAACACAATTCGTCACTTGCGCGGCAGTCTCGACATATGTTTCTTTTACACAGCAACGCAGATTACTGATTACTAGGTTATTAAATGGCATATCGTTTTCGCGCGTCTTACCTGATCTGTTCTTTCCTGACCACGTGGTGGTCCTCTCATAGACATGGGAGGTGGTGGAGCTGGAGGCATTCCGGGAGGTGGGAGACCTTGTGGTGGGAATCCCGGGGGAGGCATTTGACCTGGCATCATACCAGGTGGTGGAAGACCTAGTGAAAATAAACAAAAATGATGATAAATTGACAAATTTGTTTTCATTTTTCTATCAGCGACTTTATTAACCTTCATTTCTAGAATTTATAATCACAAAATTTGAATTACAATGTGCTCACAATAATAACATTATGATAAGTTATAAAGTTATAAAACAATTTAAAATTTAGTTGCAAGAAATTAAGGTATATATTGCCATCATATTTTAGTGGTTTAAGATTTTCTTAAGACGGTCAGTTCTACATTTGAGCGACGACCAGTTGTTAAAATTGCGTAAATCACGTTTTCTCTGGTCTGAAGTAAAAGACGAGACAGCCGGTTACCATCACTATTAGTTCCCTTTTTAATCATTCTTTCACACAAAGCATCGCGTCTCACATCTAGACGAGAACAATGGAGCTCACTCACTTAATACAGGCTAAGTCTTCAATTGGTTAGGTCCCTGCTTAGGTCACTTGGATTATTCGCCAAACCCATGCAGCATTCCAGTTCAACCAAGTGAAGTGCAAAAACATCTTTCAAGACACATTATCACTACCCGCACACCAGAAAATCAGTATACAGTATACAAGTCATGAACTAGCGGTTACAGCTCGACAACTGGCCTTTGTAGTTCAGTTGGTTAGAGCGCTGTACCGCGGAATCGCAGGGATGCACATTCGATTCCTGCCAGAGGACCATGTGTTGCATTTTCGCAACCGTTCCTATTTTTGCTTTCAACATATTGTATTGCGTATACGTTCTACTTCGTACTTTATTCCGTCTAATGCCAGACAATTTTACTAATCAAGAACCAAGTTATGGACATTAATGCGTTAACCAGACTATCTACTATAGACTATCTACCCGATTGGGCAAAACTCGCGTGTTTATGTCGCGCGACTTTCATGCGACACTATAGAGAGTTTAAGATTTGATGACGCAAGGTCACGACGTGGCCGACCGGAAGTAAATTGTGCATAACAGCAGTACTGCGCATGTGCAACAGCGGGAGTCAGGCGTCGTTTTCACTCTGAGGGAGCGAGCTGGCATTACCAAAGATTCACAGATATTAAAGAAGAAAAGTTCCTATGAACTTTAGCAGCCGTCATTCTGATGATGACTGGAAGTCAGTCGAAACATAGAATACATGTTAACCGTTTTCGGAATGTCCATTACTTTGCATTTTCTAGAATTACTCATGCAGCGGCAATTGTAACTTTTATTTCATGTACTGTTATGTATTTATGACAATTTGATCGCGCTGGGGTTACTGACTCTAAACTTTGGCATTACATTTCCAGCTGGAGGTAGCCTTGCAGTTATATTTAGTTCAATAATCTGGCCTTGTCTCGTGTTGACCTATTTAGTTACAATGTGCCCTAATGCATTCTACTTTGTTCTATTTTACTCATCAAATGAAGAATGTTGAACATTGAATTTAGCCTGCTCGCAGCCTGAATTCGTTTCAAAATTCAGTCTGCTGATCTGGAACGTTAATCGTGTATACAAACATCGCATTCACGCGAAAATAGGTAGTGCTGGTTAATTTAATGCTTTGTAAATTAATCCCAATGTTTATTGTATACAGTAATGGCAACACTATACGATCAGGTTTTTTTCTCGCTTGTATACTCTTCCACAATATGTTTTAATTATTGTAAGTGATTTTTATTCTCGAATAATATATGTAATTGTCTGCGTAACATTTCGGCATATATTTTGCCCAGATTGATTGACCTTTCCGTGGTTTATCTATTCTTTTGGATTTGTCGCGTATAGCCGTTCATGAATAATTTATTTCAATCTCGGGATTTTGCTATGACTTTGTTGTTTTCGTTTAAAATTGGTTCAAGATTCATTGATATGCACTTGTCTTCTTATCATCGATATGCATATGCTTAATAGATATGCACTTGTCTGCTTATTCGTAACATTTTGGTATGTACTTCGGTTAGTTTGATGAAATTTTCCTGGTTTATTTATACATTTCAGTACTGTACTTTCCGGTCATCGACATTCAGTAGAATTAACTCAAACTCAATCGCAAATGCATGGGTCTCTTACGTCATTATACACGATGACGCTTGTAGTTTAGCAGACCGCATTTTCCGCTTTTGAGATTTCGGGCTGGGAGCAGGCTACATTGAATTGGGTTAATGTCTGTTTTGTATAATAACTAATGATTAATTGAATCAGGAAACGAATATGGCGGCCAGTTAGAATCGTAATGTATTACTAGAATCAATAAGTGTTGAGTTGTGTATGTAATTTTACGAAACACATACCTGGTGGCGGCATGATGGGAGGAGGTGGTACTCCCCCACCCATCATCATGGCTGGATCAAAGCCATTTATTTGGGTAGGTGGAGCATCTGCGAACAACTGATGTGGCTTGTCTGCTTGCGCCAGAGGATTCTGGGAAGCCAACAGACGTTCTAGAAGACAAAAGGTACAAAAAGCCAGTAGTCGAAATCGTATTTTCGGACAGATGTAATGTACAGTGGGAACAGTCAGCTTGGTACCAAAATCTGCTGTCTGTTGTTTGGAGGTGGTCTGAGGTTTAGTGATAGTAGCTAGTCGAAAGAAGCATGCAGAAAACAGTGATAGCCACGGGGTTTTTTTAGTATTATACGTACTTACCTGCAGCAGAGCCATGTCTTTCACCCTTAGAGTCTTTCTTGAAAGCATAAGAAATACTGATCGGACGATTGCACAAATGTTGTCCATTCATTGCTTCAATGGCCGCATCTGCAGCATCGAAACTTGCAAAGTTTATGAAAGCAAAACCTTTCGAGTTGCCAGTCTCTGGATCTCTCATGATCTAAAACAGAAAATGAAAATATTTTCTACTAAAACACTGTACACCACACACTACAGTCATGTGACTACCAGGGTTTGGCAGGTTCTTGCGCATTCTCGGACCAAAATGCCGTTCAAAAAGTAGCCAAAATCTACCAAAAGAGGCCAAACAATTTTTTGTTCAAAAGAGGCCAAAAAGAAGTCAAATGCGGACTTCTGCGAACACAGTGATATGCTCACTCAGCTGTTTAATTGGCTGGATTTCATGAATCCTGATTGGCGCCTAGAACAGGTTATTTCTGACAATGAATAAAAATGGAACAAACCTGCAAAAATCAATGCTTTATTTCAAAATAATCAATAAATGTTGACAAAATTCTTGTAAACTGTGAAGAGGCAAAAAAGAAGCCAAAAGGCTAAACTTTTTTCGAAGCCAAACAAAAAATAAAGAAAATCGAGTTATCTGGCCTCAAAATGGCCAATCTATCAATCCTGGTAACTACAGTACATATATAAACCCAAACAAAACAACTTACTTTTGGTGTTTGTAAAATGACTCCAAAAGCACTGAACGTGTCGTACAATAATTTCTCGTCAATTTCAGGATCCAAGTTGCCAATGAATATATTTGCACCAACATCCAGATTCTTGTTGTGGGACGACGCCTGATAAAATTTTAGAACCGTTTATGAATTTATGATTATAAGAGCATTAGGCCAAAAAAAGTATTCTGTTTCTGGTCAGTTTTTCCAAAACTGACTCTTTTTGCAGCGTTCTGGTGCTTTTTGCAGAAATGGCGAATACATTTCTAGTTTCTATAAGTACATACTGTACATTGATTTTTTAAGCTTAATGTAAACTTTCACCAAGTCTACCATACATAGAATAGAATGAGAACTACTATAGAATATTATATAATAACGTTAAGTATTCAAGCACTTTCATTGGTCGAGAGCCATGATCTATTAGAGGACAGACGCACGGAATGACGTCATAATTAATGACATTGGCTACCTTGTAAAAATTCGACTTTTTCAAATTTCCAAATGTTTGGGTGGATAAAAAGTAAGCTATTTACCTGTTTAATTGGGGGGTTTTCTTTATAGATACACAGTATGGCATCATAATGCAACCTCGCAAGCTTGATCATACGGCGGCTCGTGAGCCACTTTCTTTTGTTCTTCCCACGTTATGATGTCATACTGTGTATCTATAACTGAACAGACAACGGCAAAATCTTATCTAGTTGTTATATCAATCATGAAATATCACCAGAATATGCTTTATTCTCTCACAAAAATCATGCCAAAACATGCAGTACATTTGAGTACTTTGAGTACAGTATTCAATCTGTAACATATTACTTTCGTGTCAAAATTTCAGTAGATTTACTTGATGCACATAGTCAAAGATGACGCGCGAGCTGACCAGAAACAGAATACTTCTTTTTTTGTCTTACATAACTAAAATAAAGATATGAAATAACTGGAGGGCACTCAGAGACTGCATACTGTATATATTAAGTACAATATAAGAATTGTAGACAGTAATAATTAATATATGACTAGCTAATGCCAAATTTATTGCTAAATTAATCATAGCTATATATCTTACATCAAAGCTGGTTAATCTCGCTAAGAGCACTTAATTAAAGCTTCTACTTGCATGTCTAAAGTATTTCGTAGTTATTTCCTAAACAGTTTATGTTTTGGTATTACGAACTGAAAATTAGATAGTCATATATAATATAACAATTGTGCTAAAATGTGACGCCATAGGTTTAAGTAGTTAATATGTATGGTTGTGTAAAATAGTATCTCAGTTATGTGACATGTAATTTGTTGTTCTGTTAGATAATGTAGAGATAGATGTATAATTCAGTTAGTTTATGTTTATATATTGTAGTTAGTTTCACGTACACGACCACATCAGCTATGCTGTAAATTTACTATCGTGTTTAAATAAATGCTTTTATTATTATTATTATTAATATCATGCACAAATCATGTCAATACGATATCATGTGGCACTGTAATATGTTTGATATTTTTGAATGAGTTACCCTTCTGACAACTACAATATTCTCACTGAGACTCTTTAGTGAAACCAATTTAATAATACTGATAACAAAGTGAACAAACTATAAACAAATCCCAGTATAAATGTAAATTTCTAGTGATAAGCAATCTCGTTCAGTGTCTTCAATACTATCTGTTCTCATATGAACACCAAACTATTATCCCACTACATCACATGACATTATGATGACGTCACTACTACAACAACAACATACATACATACTTTATTGTGTTCCCTAAATAGGGATTTTCAACACTGATTTACAAAAAATAAATGTTGTTCTATTTACAAGTTTTAGAATCTAGAAATTAAAACAACCATCGAAACATGCAGACATATCCGTTTTTAATGTCACAAAAGTTTCAGAAAATATCTGTAAACTAAAGCATGACAAATTCACAGACTTTCAAGCACTTCAGTCTATATAAATTCAAGAGCTTCAAGTCTAAGGTCTTGCATTTTTGTTTTCAAATTCAAATTCAAAGACTTAACTTTTGGTTTTTAAATCCAAGGACCTTCAATGACTAGTTGGAAACCTGGGAGACTTTTGGATGTTAAAGGCTAATCTAAATACAAGTACTAAACCAACCTTGTTGACTCTGACAGGTTTTCCATAAACTTTAATCATGTTCATAACTTTTATTGCATAGTCAGCATCTTCCTCACCAAGGAACTCAACAAAGCCATAGCCTTGATGCAGTTGAGTAATCCGATCTTTTGGCATGTGAACATTTACTTAGAACATAGTAAGAATAAAAAATATCATGTTGTAAACTTCAAATAGCATTGTAAAAGAGAGATAAAATCATGGACTGTGGGCAATTGGGTCCAGTAGGACACATAGCTCATATGAAATGAAACACTGTATTGATGTAGTGAGATGGCAACTTACTGATGTTCTAACAAAGTTCTGATATTCAAGGGTTGATACTGAAAACCAATACTGATTAATAGTCTATTTCACTTTGAGTGGCTAATCATGCATCAACACTAACCATATACATTTTGATAAATTTTAGAATATGGCTATTAGCCTGGGCTATATATTGAATTTATATTTGATACAGCACATTACTGTACAGGTACATGTAGGGTATTGTAACTGAGGTGTGAAAAAAAACCTGTGGTTCCGGTTTCATATTGCGAAAAAGTTAGGGTCGGAAAAAATTAGGGTTGGAAATAATTTTTTTTTCAATAAATAGTGTGACAACATACGCCATTTTGGCAGCAGCCCGCAACCACCCAGAGAAAATAGGGTCACACAGTCAAATAGGGTCACACAGAAAAAATAATAGGGTCAGCAGAAAAAAATAGGGTCGGTCGGGAACCGGAACCACAGGTTTTTTTTACGCCTGATTGATTTCTGTTACAAGAAATCAAAATCCAAAATATTTTTTAAATTTAAAATATATTTTCTAAATTTATTATTATATAATAAAATATTGGTATCAAGCTCAAAAAATGCTGATACTGATATTTTGAATGTAGGGTAGATCATTGAAATTAATTTAATATACTGGAACTGGAACGCTACCTCCAAGGCCAGTCCCAGTCTTTTCATGCATGCGCAGAGCACTCAATCAGTCAACCATGACTTAAACATGCGTCAAGAAAAAGATAGGCAGTTTGTCTGAAGGTAGCATTCCAGTTACATGTATATTAATTTCAATGGGGTAGATATACTGATATCAGTGCATCACCAGGACTTCTCAAACTTACCAACAGGTCCAGCTTGTAGGAACAGCTCCCAAAGCAAGGTCTCACTGACTTTCTCATCAAGTCCACCAACATATATGGTCGCATCTGAATTATGAAATGTCAAGAAAATAAAAAGGTGAGACACTTCGGTGAAGGATCCAGGCATGGCCATATGCATGCCATAAAATGTGCAAGATGAGTAAAATTGTCTGCTGTTAGATAGCGTGAAATATATTAAATACATGTAGGGTGCATTAGAATTGCTTCTATCTTTGTGATTGTAAAACTGGCCCGGTCAGAAACGTAGCCAAGGCAAAAAACACGAAAAACTACCATGCTGTAATACAAATCTATACAAACGTGGGGCCCCAGAATCGGGTGGCGGCTTCACTTTTGCATACTATAGATGCATTATCCGGTCTTATTTCAGATCAGTGATTGTGCTCCAATGCACCCTACTGGCCTACTTTATTTTGCTCTGTCTAATGCTAATGTTAATCAGACTATCTGCCCATGTGCCTAGCCTTTTAAGTTGCATTGCCGCCTAATGCACCCTACTGTATAATTTTACTCCATCTACCTGTAACACCAGATAATTTTACATGTCAAGAGAAGTGCATTGGCAATCTGTCCATGTCTAGTTAACCTCTATTGGCCCACTGACAGGAATCAATCCTGTGGCCCTTCGATTGCGGTGCAGCGCTCTAACTGAGCTACAGAGGCCACTTGACAAGCTCTAACTGCAAGTTCATTTATACAGTATATATATACTAAAGTGACACCCAGGGCCGTAGCGAGGGGGGTATTTGCGGAGGGAGTGGTTAACCCCCCAACTTTTTTAGAATTAACATATTCGGAAAATCGGGTTGGCCATTCGGAAAATTATGGCAATAATAGTATAACAGAATTTTAGTTGTTAATAAACAATATAAACTGATTTACAAAATCATGGCATTTAGATGGATAACAATTTACAAATCATAAATCGGTAAATGTTTTTCGGTTTATTACTTCTGTAATATGTCTATGCGTAAAATATGCGTAACGGTATCTTTGTTTGTATTTGGTCAATAATTGACTCAATTCTCTCAAGAAACCTTTAGAAACTTCAAAACTGGTAATTCTTATCAGTGCAGATCAGTGTTGTAATGAGTCGAGTCATTGACTCTGACTCGAGTCAACTCGAGTCGAATATACATGGTAGCTACTAGAGGTGTGCAAATCCAATCCAATCGGATTTTAGAACAAAAATATACATTTCGGATCGGATTGATAAAGTTGTTTCGTAGTCGGATCACTTCGACATTTGAAATAAAATGAATTAATTATCCACACAGTATCGCAAGAATTAATTATCCATGCATTTATCAAAGCATTATCGCGGTTGTCGCTGCATTATTCGTTTGATATTTCAACTGGATGTCACTTTGTCAGCTTCTTGACATGTATTTCTTGCTTTTATATTTATTTGGTTAAATATTTCAACTTGAATGAGAAATTTATTTTATTAAAGGATTTTTCAGATCGGATCGGAATTCTTTATCAAAATTCGGATCGGATTCGGATTAGACAATTTCGGATCGGATTTTAAACATTAATTAGCCAATTGTCGGATTATAAACGTCCAATTCAGTGCGATGCACACCTCTACTAGCTACGGCCCTGGTGATGCCAATGAAATGGAATCGGGGACGCCGGAACTGCATGGGGACAGGAGGGGCAGCCGCCCCCGTTGCCCTTCACCAGGAAGGGTAAGGGGGGCAAAGATGCCCTTTCGATATAAAGGATTGCCTTTGTGCGGGTTAACCCCCCGCGGAATTAGGTTGATAGAACCCCCCTGAACTAGATCACGTGACGAACTCGTGTTGTTGTTGTTGAGACTTGAGAGAAAATTATATTGTTATTTTAATTCGTGAGCATTAACTTTATGTCGTTATAATTTGATTATTCGAGCTTTTATAAATAAAGTTTTTATGTTTAATTATTTGTGAGTGTATATCGGAACGATTCGGTATATAATGGTGCCGTGACCAGGATTTAAAGTCGATTTAAAATGGTAGAAACCACCGATGGAAGCGAGCGTACAATGGCGGAAGTGGAGGCGATCAAAACAAACGAAGACATTTCGCGAATGGAAAACAGTATCAAGAAGGAGATTTCTAAATTGAAATATTATCTAGAACCAGCCGATGAGTTAATAGAGTCTAAAGACTACGAAGAAATGGCGATTGTTGCGCAAAGAACGGCGACAATTTGCGAAACTTTAACGGATATTATATTGAATGCTGTGGAGTTAAAAATAGAGCTTAACATGACACCTCGAGGCGTGAGACAGTGGAGAAACGATGTTAAATCAAGTTATTCGACGTTACTTGAGGAAAGAGAAAAGATTATCGAAGCTTTACGTGAGAGAGATCAAGAAATAAAACAAGACGAAGAAATGAAAGCTATCGAAGCACAAAAACGACAACAAGAGAGAGTAGAGAGGCAACAAGACGAAGCCAGAGCCAGACAGGAAGAAATTGACGAACGTTTAAGGCGAGAGAGACATGAGAAAGAACGAGAACTTTTCGAAGAAAAGTTAAAATACGAAATGATAGCAACTGAGAAACGTTTAGAAATGGAAAACAAGGCCAAATCTACACAGGCAAAATTACCAAAATTGCGAATTTCTCCATTCAATGGCACACCAGCCGATTGGATTAGGTTTGAAAATATGTTCACAACGCAAGTACACGACAAACCAATAAGCGACGAAGAGAAATTTGCCTATTTATTAGAAATGGTCAATCCAAAGGTACGAGAAAGAATCAGTAATTTAAGGCCTAGTACATCAGGGTATAATACTGCATGGGACAGACTTAAGAGAGACTATGGTCACACAACATTAGTTGTGAATGCCCATATGGATGCCATTGTTAATTTGCCAGTAGTAAAGGGGTCAAGTTATGAGAAAGTAAAAGAATTCTATGAAAAAGCAAGTCAAAGTTTTGATGCACTAGAAACTTTGGGAAAGAGTGATATGTTAAAGGGATTTGTACTGTCGACATCAAATAAACTGCCAAATATTAAATCAGATTTGGTGCGCACAGATAATGAATGGGAAAGCTGGTGCATGAAAGATTTACTTGACAACCTTCAACAATGGTTAAAGCGAAACAAGATGACAGCAGAAACATCCAAGCCATCAGAGAGCCCTGGAAAAGAGAGACAGTGGTGGACACAGAAAGGTGAGAAGAAATCAAAGGAGAGAAAATGTTTATTTTGTGCGGAAAACCATTGGTCTGATAACTGTCCTAGCCAAGATACAAAGGAGAAGAGGAAAGCATTCTTTGTTGCATGCAAGCTTTGTTTTAACTGTGGGTCTCCAGGCCACAGAGCCAGTAATTGTAAGAGCAGAGGATGTCACACATGCCAAGGAAGACATCACACTAGTTTATGCGACCGAAGGAAGAATCCGGACCTGGTATTGCATGCATACACCGATAACAAAGAAGCACTTCCACCCATTATTCCTGTAAAAATTCAGGAAGAAACACTGTGGGCCTACCTTGACACCGGGTCAGGGAGGAACTTTATATCAAGCAATGCTATGGAGAAGTTAAATATGGTGCCGACACGCCATGAAGTCCGACAAATTGTGACCCTTAATGGCTCAAAGGAACAAACCCTACCAGTCTATAATGTAGAGATTCATTCAATTAATGGGGAGCAAGTGGAAAATATCGAAGTTACTGGATCACAAATGCCGAACTTCACAACGATCCAGAGACCAACCATTAGTGAACTGAAGGAGAAACTTGCGCATGCAAGGGACAAACAATTCTATGTGACGGGGGACAACAAATATCCAATCGATCTGATAATTGGTGACAATCTTTACTGCAAGATTAAAACGGAAGAAATATTTAAAGGGAAAAGTAACGAGCCAGTCGTCGAAGGAACCACATTTGGGTGGGTGATCCATGGTGGTGAGTATCCAGTGGATGAATGCCTGTTTACCACTGAAGTTGCGGACTACGAAAGATTATACAGTTTGGATGTTCTTGGAATTGAAGACCGGAAAGAGAATGACCAAGATGAAGTGCTGCTGGAGTTTACAGAAAATATTACGAGGAAAGCAGACGGCAGGTATGAAGTTAATATTCCGTGGATCGAAGGAAGTAAGTTAAGAGAGACTAATTTAGAACAGAGTAGGCGCAGGCTGAGAAATGTCGAGAAGAGATTAAGCCGTGACGCTGAATTATCCAAAGGTTATGAGGAGATAGTGGAAGAGCAGTTAGACACAGGAATTGTCGAGTTTGCCCCAGAGGAACCAACTGGGAAAAGAATCTTCTACATGCCTCATAAGCCTGTAATAAGACAAGGTGCAACGACAACGAAGATTCGTATGGTATTTGATGCCAGTGCAAAGCCAAAGCCCCTCGAAAGCAGTGTTAATGAGTGCATGCACACTGGACCCCCTCTACTGCCACACTTATGGGACATTATGATACGTACAAGAATGTGTACCAACATTCTCCTTGCTGACATTCAGAAGGCTTTTCACCAAATCGGAATAAAGGAGGAGGACAGGGATGCATTCAGATTCCTTTTCAACATCAATGGCAAGGATGAACATCTCAGATTCACCAGAGTCCCCTTTGGAGCAGAGGCTAGTCCCTTTATTCTCGGTGCGACATTGCAGCATCATTACAACCAGCAACCACCCTGCTATGAAGAAACCGTTCAATCTTTGAGAGATAATACCTACGTAGACAATCTTATGACGGTTAGTGAGGATATCGAAGGTTTGGAAAGGTTCAAAGTCGAAGCCACTTGTATTCTGGAAGACGCAAAATTTCCCCTACACAAATGGGAGTCAAATGTCGAGGAGTTGGATGGGGAGGACACGCCTAATCCGAGTAAAATTCTGGGTCATGGTTGGGACAAACGAGAAGACACCCTGGAAGTGACCGTGCCAGAGTTCCCACAAAGTAAACCAGTAACAAAAAAGACTGTGCTAAGCCATCTGGGAAGCATTTATGACCCCATGGGTATCTTGTCGCCAACGTTAGCAACCGGCAAACACATTTATCGAGAGATATGCGAAGAGAAAGCCAGCTGGAATGAAGAAGTGTCACCAGAACTGAAACAAAAATGGTTCAGATGGACGGGACAATTGCGAAATGTTAAAGTTCCGAGGAGTATCCTGAAAGAGTGCAGAAGAACGAAGGGTATCCATATCCACCAGTTCGCAGATGCCAGCAATCTTGCCTGTTCTACTGCAACCATTGCTCTAGTCGAAGGGAAAACCGGTGTGATAAGAGGCCTTCTGTGTTCGAAATCAAGAATCTCGAAACGAAACCTTTCAATTGCTCGGTTAGAATTGGTCGGCGGGCACATGGCAGCGAATATGGTGAAAAACGTATGTCAGGCGTTGAGACATTTACCTATACTTTCAGTGACAATATGGATGGACAGTATGATTGCATTGTACTGGATAACAAATCCTGAGCGACCATGGAAAGTCTTTGTTGCCAACCGCGTGCGAAAGATAGCCGAAGCAACGAAGGACATTAAAGTTGATTGGAGATACTGTCCGACTGGTCAGAATCATGCTGATATGGGGAGCAGAGGAGCATCTATTGACAAAATGATCAAAGAAGGATGGTTTACGGGGCCGGATTGGTTAGATGAGGTCAGCGAATGGCCAGATCAGCCAATGTTAAGGAAGACACCCCAAATCGAAGAAGAAGAGAAACCACAAAAGGAGCTAGTGGGCCATGTGACTGAAATCCAACGAGATGAATGGGACGATCTATTGGCGCGACACTCGTATTGGAGTACCATCAGAGTCGTAGCTTGGGCATTACGGTATGCAGACAACAGCTTAGCGAAGCGGAGAGGACAAAAGAAACGTTCCGGTCCATTGACAACTGTTGAAACGATAACCGCGAGAAACCATCTGGTACGGAGGAGCCAGAAATACATTCCAGAAGATTTGAGTGAACCACAATTTAAATTGACGAAGGACGTTGACACGGCAATCCTCAGATGTGAAGGACGAATAGCGAATTACAAGCCGATCTATTTGGAGAATGAAGAGTTCATCACAAAGTTAATTCAACACGTTCATGAGAAGAATAACCACCTTGGCGTAGCTCATACTATGGCCAGTATCAGAGAAGAATGGTGGATACCTCGTTTAAGAAGTCGGGTTAAGAAATACATAAACAACTGCAACGTGTGCAAGGTGTTCTCAACCAAGCCGTACGGAGCAACAGAAACTGCAGCTCTACCATCGTTTCGCACTGAAGTGAGTCGACCATTTGAGCATACCGGAGTGGATTTCGCAGGGCCAATCTATTATCGGACATCGAAAAGGGAAGACAAGGCTTACGTTCTAATTTTTACCTGTGCAACATCAAGAGCGGTGCATTTAGAACTTACAAGATCCCAGACAGCTAAAGAATTCCAACAGAAACTGAACGCGTTCATAGCAAGACGGACACGACCACGGAGAATCATATCGGATAACGCAGCAACCTTTCGAGCAACCGCAAATTGGATAAAGAAGATCAGGAAAAGTGAAGAACTGAACGATTACTTAGCGTCTCAGTCAATTACATGGCAATTTAACTTGTCTAAATCACCGTGGTGGGGCGGACTTTATGAACGTCTGATAAGGGAGATAAAGAAGACATTATACAAGACCTTAGGGAAAACTCACCTGACTTTCGAACAGTTGGAAACCGTGTTGATGGACGTAGAGCGTCATTTAAACAATAGACCACTTACCTACGTAGAGGATGAACTAGGCGAAGGAAGGATCTTAACGCCAAACACTATCATGTGGGGTCAAAATTCGTATGTATTTGATGAAGATCTGGAGAAGGAGGAGCTAACACGGTACGACAAACGGCTACAGAAGGCTCGAGAACATGCGTGTACGCGTTGGAAGAAAGAATATATTCATAGCTTGATGGAATCACATCGAATACAAAGGGAAAGATCGAAGGTTCCAGAATTGGGTGAAGTCGTGCTTGTTGTCGGAGACGAGAAAAACAGAGGAAAGTGGAAGAAAGGGAAAGTCGTGAATCACGTTACAGGGAAGGACGGGGTAGTAAGAGGAGTTTTGATTCAATACAAGGAGCATATCATCGAACGCCTTTTGCAACTCGTTTGTCCACTTGAGATCCGAAGTTGTGAGCCAGCGTCCACGAAACCAGCTGACAATCTCGAAGCAGAAGACGAAAGGGAAACCAGAGATCAAAGACCAACCAGAGATGCAGCAAAGAGAGCCAAAGAACTCGTTAAAATTATCGCGATGGATGAAGAAGACAATTGACTAGGAAGAGAACTGTAATATAAAAATGAACAATTGACATTTTTATAGGGGAGTGTGTGCGGGTTAACCCCCCGCGGAATTAGGTTGATAGAACCCCCCTGAACTAGATCACGTGACGAACTCGTGTTGTTGTTGTTGAGACTTGAGAGAAAATTACATTGTTATTTTAATTCGTGAGCATTAACTTTATGTCGTTATAATTTGATTATTCGAGCTTTTATAAATAAAGTTTTTATGTTTAATTATTTGTGAGTGTATATTGGAACGATTCGGTATACCTTGGCGAAATAGCGAATTGTCATAAATGTTAGTGCAATTCTTTTACGAATTTGCTTCAGAAAACGCAAGAAATGCAGTCATTGAGCTTCAAGAATAGAACAATCGCCTGGTGGCGAACCCCCTCACACCCCTATCATTCAATAAATAGAAAACATGATTTAATAGGCAAAGTTCAACTCCCGATGTTTTGAAAACATAATTAGGCGAAGTTCAATTCCCGATGTTTTGCAAACATCATCTCAGTCCTTTCACGACAATCTGCCCCCCTTGCCTTCAGTGGTTGACTACCTCACGGACGTTCTTTGAAGTTGACGTCAATACAATTGGAAAGCGGTTTCCACTATAAGCTCGTAATATTATCGTAAAATCTTCGTAACATGTCCGTATAAATGAATTATTCATCGTTATTGGCAAGGATTCGATCCGCTATCCTTAGTCTCAGAGCAGTATAGCCACAACACTATAGACCCATTGCACATGACGTCACAGCGCCGGTGACGATGCATCTGGAGGACAAATTACCAATCTATGCATATTATAACTTTTGTAAACAAAGCAAATTTTGTAAAACTTTATGATAATTTAGTATTAAAATGGTTAATTTTTGCGCTGTATGTGGTTGTTGTATCTGAACAGATATTGTTAGGGAGCATCTGGAGGACACTCTAAGGATTGTGACGTCAGTGCAATGGGTCTATTGCAGCAATCGCTGAAATTTACAGGTAACACACCATTTACAGGTAGTTATATTCATTCATTTACGATCAGAATCTAAATTACAAAGGAACTGGACTGCCGGTCATTTAGTACATTTCGAAACCTGACCGGCTGCCAGTCAAATGGTCACAGACTCACAGGGATGTATTTTTACCATTGGTGAGCATATTTGCTATTTGGAAGTGGTTATAGGTCCCACATTTCCATAATCATTAAACTTGTTAAAAATAAAAGGCTAAAAAGCGCGTAAATTTAATTGACTTTAGATAGATAAATAGATAGATAAACTTTATTTAAACACGCTGACCCCGTCAACCGAAGCTGATTTCCACGAGGGGCGTGCGAAAAGTATACAGAAAAGAATTTTAAAACTATTTACAAAATTATATAAGATTTTATAAAGTATATAAGTGTTATATGAACTAACAAACTAAGGTAGTAATCTATATACAGGTAATATTAACATCTATGTTAATTAGCTATCAGTCAATGTGAGTAGTGATTTTCTTTCGAAAGGAAGAAAAGGATTTGTTCTCTCTTATTTCTTTAGGAATAGAATTCCAAAGGTGTGCTCCGTCATACACGAAACTTTTTTTCATATTATTAGTACGTGGTTGTGGTAAACAAAGACTACTTGAAATGTTCCGAAGTTTGTAGTTTGTCACCTCACCCTTATATGTGAAGAGATTAATCAGTGATTTGGGTCCCATTTTATTCAATAATTTGTACATGATTTTTGCTTTACTTTTCTTCCTTTCTGTTTTAAGTGGCTTCCAACCCAATGCTTGCAATGCAACAGAGTGATCTATGTCATTGTTCATATTCAAAATAATCCGAGCAGCTCTGTTTTGTAGTTTTTGGAGTCTTTTTGATTGCGTTTCTCCAAACACATCCCATACTTCACAGCAGTAATCAAAATATGGGCGAACAATAGCATTATATACAGAAAGAAGTGTTTGCTTATCAGCAAATTCTTTTAAACGCCTAAGAGCCGATATTCCAGATGTAATTTTCTTGCAAATATTCTCAGTGTTAGTTTTCCAAGATAAATGCTGGTCAATTGTCACTCCAAGAGTTTTGGATTCATAAACTTGTTTAATTGACTCGTTTTCAATTTTCACATTTAGTTGCAAATTTGAAATATTTTTTATCATTTGTTTTGAACCAATTAACATAAACTCAGTCTTAGCAACATTTAGACTAAGTTTATTGGCAATTAGCCATTTCCTAAGTTTTTCCAAATCAGAATTCACTGCAGTTTCAAGATCAGTAATAGAGTTTCCAGAAACTGTCAGGTTTGTATCGTCAGCAAACAACCGAGGTTTTGTTTTATCCAGGCATTGAGGCAAATCGTTAATATATAACAGAAAAAATAGGGGCCCTAAAATAGAGCCTTGTGGTACGCCACATTTGATCAATTTCTCTGATGAAACAGATCCTTGTATTTGGCATTTTTGGTTTCTATTTGAGAGATATGATTCTAGAAAAGACAGAGCTTGTCCTTTTATTCTGTAAAGCTCTAATTTTTTCAATAATATTTGATGGTCGACAGTATCAAATGCTTTTTTTAAGTCAATTAAGACTACCAGGTTAAACATTTTGCGGTCTAAGTTCATATACCAATCATTTGTACAGTCAAGTAATGCTGTAGCTGTAGAGTGAAATTTACGAAAACCGAATTGACAGTCACTCAGAAGTTCAAATTTGGTTAAATAATTGTATAGCTGATCGTACAGAATTCGTTCCATAATTTTGCTAATGACAGGCAGAATTGAAATTGGTCTGTAATTTCCTGGCAGGTTTCGTTGGCCATTTTTATAGAGAGGTATTACTCTAGCCGTTTTCCATTCGTGAGGGAAAAGGGATAGGATAATAGCTTGATTGAAAATACATGTGAGTGAATCTGAAATAGAAGGTGCAGCTATTTTAATAATTTTACTGGAGATCTTATCAACGCCAGTGGCTTTGTTGCTAGAAAGACCATGTAAAAGATGGTAGACATTGCTGACAGTGACTGGCTGGAATGCACTGAATTCTGATTTAGTCTTTTCAATATATGTTTGAAAGTTCAAATTTGGAGTATCAATTTTGCTAGCTAGATCAGGGCCAATATTTGAAAAATAATTATTAAAGCCTTCCGCAATATCTTTGGTATTTGTCAAACTATTTTCACCTAATTTTAACTCATTTACTACTGTTGGTTTGCTTTGCCTACCTAGTATATCGCTTATAGTTTTCCAAGCCTCTTTAGGGTTGCATTTTTGATCAGAAATTTTAGTGGAGTAATAAATTTTTTTAGCATTTCTTAGCTGAATATTAACTTTGTTTCTCGTTGTTTTGTAATTTAACCAGTCTATCTCTAGGTTTGTAATAATGGCCTTTCTTTTTAATCTGTCCCTTGTGATTATAAGTTGCTTTATAGCACTTGTAATCCAAGGAACTTTTTTTGTTCTAATATTTTTATGTTGAAGTGGTGCATGGTTATCCAAGACCTCTACGAATAATTTCTTCCAAATTTCCCACATAGCGTTAGGATCTTCAGCGAAGAAGTATACATTTTCCCAGGGTTGTTGCCTCAGATCCTCAACAAATTTTTGATGATAAAATTTTTTCATATTTCTTATCTCAACTTTCTTCTCTTGTTTTTTAACAACAGAAATTTTCCTTATTGCAAATACCAAACTATGGTCACTTAATCCAGTATGGATAACACCAGAGTCAGAAATTTTCTCTGGTGTATTGGTGACTATATGATCAATAAGACTAGAGGTTGTCATAGTTACTCTGGTAGCTTCATCAATCAATTGTAACAATTAATACAACTCATACAATGTTTTGATTTTCTTTGTTGGAGAATTTGAATCTTTGTCTGTTTTAAGCATATCACAGTTTAGATCACCCAGAATATACATTTCTTTATTTTCATCATCAATGGCTTTAATTAATTTTTCAAAATGATCAAAGAATTCAGATGATGCATTGGGTGGTCTATAAATGGTTGTAACAAGAAATGGTCGACTGTGTGGCTTAATAATTTCTACACAGACAGCCTCCAATTCAGAGGGAATTAGATCTTGTCTTATAATATAGTTGATGGAGCTACGCAAGTAGATACAAACTCCACCTCCATTTCTTGATCTGTCTTTTCTAATAATATCATAATCATTAAGGTGAATCATACCATTAGTTATACTTGAGTCAAGGCGAGTCTCATTGAAAGCAATAAGATCAATGAATTTGTTTGACATTGAATACCTTATTTCATCAATATTTTTTGGCAAACTAACAATGTTAAGAAAAGCCATTTTAAAACTTCTTTCATTGGGAATGGAATTAAGGCTAGTGAAAAAATCGCTACTCACATTGTTTACGGAAATAGGACTATCTAATTCTTCATTATTTGATTCACATATTTCAAGTACATTGTCCATTCTCTGTTCCGATGTCCATGAACTTGATGAAAAAACTGCCTGTTATTACCTACTCTAAACGATTTCAGATATGTGCAGAAAACACTCCCTAGCACCCTATCACCTTGTTTGTTTAAGTGCAAATTAGAGCGATTTAGTAACGACCTGTCAATGTGGTCATTATCTAAAAATGTGGTATTATGTTTCATGCATAAGTTTTTAACAAGGATATTAAAACGAGTTATCTTGCTAGCTGGAACTTGGTTATCATACCTTTTAATTACACTTGAGATGGCAATTTTCTTGGCGTGATCTTTGAGGTCTTTGATAAGCCCATCCATCTTAGATGCCACTTCTTCTGGCTCTTCAGAAGCGAGGTTATTGGTGCCCACGTGGAGGACTTTCAAGCAAGTCCTCCATAGCGTTGTGGTTTAGGCGCCCGCATTCTATGTGATAGCTTAGGGATCGAATTCTGCTCACACCGCTACTTTTATTAATTTTTTTAAACTTTTTTTTTCTTCGTGGTCGTGGTTTTTACAAGTTTTTACCCTTTTCAGTTAGCTTAGGTTAGGGGGTTAGGTTAGGGTTAATGTCCAGACACACTGGACACGATTCGACAACACGACGCAATTTTTTAGTTTTTGAAAGTTAATTAATGAGAGAAAATTTTGGAAGACATGTGGACCAAATAACTCAAAATGTTATAGCGCTTCTAAAAATTCGGAAAATTCAAACTAGGATCAAAGTTATCGGTCAGTGAAAATCGAAAAATCATGTCACGTTTTAAGGGTTAATAACAATAATTATTATATATCAATAGTCAAAGTCGCATTTTTCTAGCGTTTTATTGGTTGAGAGCATATCACGTGAGAGTGACGAAATTAGGCTGTCTCCCTCGCAACAGCGCGAGAGGGAGATAATACGTTATCGACTGGCGAGTGCCTAGTACGTAATTAAAACATTCGCTTTAAGTAACTGCAGTGTAGCCAGTGTTTAATATAACATTTTAACAATAAAATATTTCATGTATTTACGTTCATTTGTTCTTTAATTTGTTGTTTCTTTGACTTATTTACTGAGACCTCGGGAAAGCAGTGTGTTTTGTGGACCCTCGACCGTCGATGTTTCCCTCGGCTTCGCCTCGGGAAACATTGACGGTCTCGGGTCCACAAAACACACTGTTTCCCTCGGTCTCAGTAAATAAGTGATAAATATTAATTAAATTAATTTATACGAACATGTTACAAAGATTTTACGAAGATATTACGAGCTTATTGTGGAAAACCGCTTTCCAATTGTATTGACGTCACCCTCAAAGAACGCACGTGAGGTTGTCAACCCCTTGCCTTCACATCGTTCCGGCGTCCCTGAATGGAATGCACTGAAATCGCAGTGCCTGAGTGCCGCAGGTTTGATTTCTTCCAGAAGGCCAATATAGTTGCATTTTACTGACACTAATAATGTATAAATTCACACGTGAAATTTCCATCTACAAAACCCTGTAAAGTTAGTTACATATCCTGACATTTACCCAATGTTTAGAGAGCCTAGTAGACTCCTCATATATATAATATATATACACGGTATACTGTATAAATCTGTATACATCATACATATATACATATTTGCACCTAGACTGTGCAAATAACAAATCGACAGTTTTTAATGAGATCTGCGGTGCCCAAATGCTGCTTACACTACAGTACTCAGAAGCAAATAACAAATTGTTTTGTGCCAGACTGCCAGTGACTGCAGTCAGCACATGAACAAATACATCATAAAGCAAAACAGCTCATAATTCGTTCGCACGATGCGAACAGAGCAAAAAGGCAACGTATTAATAAATCACATATGTTAGTCTATCTGATATGAACAATAATCTAAAACTACTGTATAAATACTAGTTGAAAATTGGATTTCAATCTTACCTTGATTACGTTCGGTGATCGGTCCGGCCGCCATGCTTGTTTTGCTTAAAAAACTTGGTACCAGGGGCGCTTTCCATTAACACGGCCAGAACTGTGTTGAATCCACTGAGCTGTATAATAACTGGAGGACCTGCTCCTATACTTCGTTCAGTCAACGAAGTGTCCGCAAAAACATGGCGGATTTTGATGAAAAATGACGCCATTTCCATGACAACACTTACTTTATTCTCATAGTAATTAATTTTAATTTTAATTTAATTGCTTTTCCATCACTACTGTACAGAAACATACACAGGTAATAAATCCATGTCCTATATACGCGAATATGAGACACACTCGCTCTATATTCACATGTACACCGTTATCCATTGTTATCTAGTGTCATCTACCGTTATCCACTGTTATCTAGTGTCATCTACCGTTATCCACTGTAATCTAGTGTCATCTACTGTCATCTACCGTCATCTAGTGTCATCTACTGTCATCTACCGTCATCTAGTGTCATCTACCGTCATCTAGTGTCATCTACCGTCATCTAGTGTAATCCACCGTCATCTAGTGTCATCTAGTGTCATCTACCGTCATCTAGTGTCATCTAGTGTCATCTACCGTCATCTACAGTCATCTACTGTCATCTACCGTCATCTACCGTCATTTAGTGTCATCTACTGTCATCTACTGTCATCTACCGTCATCTACCGTCATCTAGTGTCATCTACTGTCATCTACCGTCATCTACCGTCATCTACCGTCATCTAGTGTCATCTACCGTCATCTAGTGTGATCTACACTCATCTAGTGTGATCTACAGTCATCTACTGTCATCTACTGTCATCTACCGTCATCTAGTGTCATCTAGTGTCATCTACCGTCATCTAGTGTCATCTAGTGTAATCCACCGTCATCTAGTGTCATCTAGTGTCATCTACCGTCATCTAGTGTCATCTAGTGTCATCTA